ATAAGCCGTAAGTTCAATATTTCTGTCGGAGTGGTTTTTACATTCTCGCAATAACGCCGTTTATGATCTATACATGTTACCGCAAAGTAATTTAGAGTTTAAAGTTTCTCTCTTTACATATATCTTGCGGTATCATACGTCTGTGTTTAATAGTAGTAAATCGAATTTTCATTTTCACAATCTGCTTCTTTGTGCTAAATGACAGATCACATTATTTTACTTTGTAACAGACTTATTCAGTTATTCTTTTCACTGGTGATTTAAGGTGTTACTATTTTTCGCTTTGAAAATACGACATTAAATTAAAGCTACTGTAATTATTTTGTTATCTTGAGAAAAGCCAGTTTTATTATCATATTATATTTTAAATTACCGTGTAATTATTTCTATCACGTAATTCACATTGATTTCACAGCGAAATCAATTTTAATTTGACGGAAGAATTTTTACAAAATGAGAAAAATGAGTTCGGCTTTTGAACTGTTTCAAGACTTCAGTATTTAGGTATAAAGCTGAACTTCCAACTAAATTACTTTGCAAACACTGCTGCAATATTGTGTTTTATTTTCTAACATATTGTTTAGACTTAGGAATCAGAGGTAGTTCTAGAGATGACCGAAAGTGGAGCCGATCAAGACAACACTATCCTAGAAGGTCAGGGGGCATTTGCCTCAATTTTTTTTTTCCACGAAAATAACCTCTGAGGCGTTTAATAATCAATTATTTCTTTTTCTTTCTTTCTTTCTTTTTTTTTAAAATTATAGGCCTATATAAGATTATATTATTCCTACGACAAGACTACAAAACACAGCAAACGTTTTGCACAAAACAATATGTACAGTAATTGGAATTTAAATATTAATTAAACATAAAGAACTGATTTCTAATCTTGACTCAGGTAGACATTTTAACTGAACAGTTTCAATCAATAATACGAATTTATTCCAATTTCAAAACAATACAAAACAGTACAATGAGAACAGGTTGTAATATCAAATCAAAGCAATAAAATAAGCTCAAAGCTTTAAACATGAAGTCCAAACTAAATACAACATTGCTAGAAATAATTAAACTCAGTCTATTATTACTGGATTAGAGTCAATACACATCAATAGAATGTTACCATTACCAATTCCCGACTAAACAGATTAAACAGTTAATTGCCGGGACATGTTATTAGGTAGAGTAATAGTTTCTTTGTAAAAAATACTCGTCATTATCAGCAGAGTCATGATCAGTTGTTGGTATAAATAACATTACAGAAAGGCATATGAAAAAATTCAGACACATCAAGCCGAATGCAATAAACAAACAATAATATCACGTAACAGCTGAAGAGTAAAACCAACAGTAAAAAACACAATCTGTTAATCAAACCGTGATGGAAGTTTTTTTTTTTTTTTCAAAGCCTTGCGAACGTTTTAACATTTAAATCATATTTTTTTAAAGATGAATCCAAGCTAGCGCCAGTCGATATTAAAACAAATCAAATTCATTAATACTCGCAAGTCTTATTTTCCATCTCTACATTTACAATGTTATTATTGCAATTGTTATACTGCGTACCCGTCCCAGGCGCAATTGGGAAGGCTCTCCTATTCGACCGACCAATTAGCGTCGAAGAAACCTGCGATAGCGTGTAGCGATTTTATGGAGATATTCCAATTGGAATAATTCCTAATTAAAAGTAACATACCAGCAATGAAACAAGAA